TGTGTGTGTGTGTGTGAGTGTGTGTGTGTGTGTGTGTGTGTATGAAAATATTATTCATTATTCATTTAAGGTTTAATATAATAAAAATGTAAGAATCTGCATTCAATTTGAATGTTTTTGGATGAACAATCTCTTTAATGCACATTCAACTGTAATGCAGATTCATCTGTTTTAGTGTATTAAACCTTAAAATGAACTTATATTTAGCATAAATGTCGCAAAATACTACTAAAATATACATAATATTAATATATAATTATATATAAACTATAATAACAATACTGTACAATACAAAAAATACTAACAATATTACATTATATGATGCTTCACAGATCATATTGTCAGAAAAGTGAAATTTTTTCTCATAGGAACAACACTGTGTTCATTTTTGGGTCAACGTTTCCTATAATGCTCAATGTTTTGTGCCCAGGGAGAAAAAAAGTCACTTTTGGGACAATATGATGTGTGAAGCATCACACCGTGTAATATTGTTTGTTATTGTTCCTAATGAAAGTTTTCATGAAGTATTACCTCTAATTCAGCAAGACAGAGTTTACATTTAAATGAGTTACAGAGCTGTGCTGAAACCAAACGGGATTATCCAATCAGAGGCCTGCGAGCCGCCCATGTGACTCTCTCTCGGCGCAGCTGCACTCAACATGTTACACAATTACACACATCCTGTGACATACCCAGAATATTTTTAGATTTATTTTTAAACATTTCTATTTTATGTGTGTTTCGAGACACGGCTCAGATTTATTCATCCATTATAGAGAGACAGAAAGGTCATATTTCTTGTTTTATGCTGAAGTCTGTACGGTCACTCGGGAAAAACCGAGAGACGGAAAACCAAAAAATGTCCTATTAGTCCTTGTTGCCAAGTCCATCCTGTGATCAGATGCATGCTGATAAAACAGGTGTAAAATCCTGAGAAGTTCAGATGCATGGTTTATAAGCAGAAGAGATTCATGGGTTTGGATGAATCTGGAGTTTTCAGTGGCTCCAGCAGCGTTCAGTTTCATGTAAATGTGTCCTTTTGTGAATGTCCAAGTGATGTGCTTGATCGCGCTCTGGCTGTACGGCTGTATGACGACGTCTGCTGTGACGTCACGCGGCTCATTGTGTGTCTCTGCGGCTCACAGGAACTCTTTGCAGCGTTGTGTTGTTCTCTGACTCCTGTCATCTCCATCCAGACCCCCGGCAGCACTGGACCGGACCCCAGAATAACACCGCTGTCATGAGACCCCGAGAACACACATCTAATCATACAATAATCATCACCAAAACCTCCCGAGAACACGCCTGGGTCATATTTCACCCTAAAATCAGAAGAAAGAAATACAAAATTATTTTTTGCACAAGGATCTATTATATTCTGCACATAGTGAAGCATATTTATTGGACCACAAAGATTTTGATGCATTTAGTTCATTATTTAAATTGCAAAGTACTTATACTGCTTCTAATTAACGCAAAATGTACGTTTTTAAATGGCAAAGTACTTACACATTATAGTAGTATTTTTTTCTGCCTTTAATAGATGCTGAATTTAAGTTTAATTTAAGAATGTGAATGTCATGAAACCATCCAAGAATATGTCCGAGTCAAATTAGAAATATTACATTTTGCACAAAGATATGTTCTATAAAACAAAAACAAAAAAATATATTTTTGCATAATATTCATGACAATTAAGCACATTTCTCCCCATTTTCATTACTGTGATGCAAGTATATGGAATTATATATAATAATTATTAATATATTTTTTTAATTGTAAAGCATAATTTATGCAAAATTTAAGTTTAATCGAAGGTTTAATAAAATAAGATGGATGAATCTCATACAAATAGAAATTATATGCACAAAATGAAGCATATTTACAAAATGACAAAAAATGTATTGTGAAATTATTTTTATTAAAATTAAGCACATTTCTACCCTATTCTCATTACTGTAATGTGAACATATAAAATCAAATTTATGCTAAATATAATTTAAGGTTTAATACAATAATATGGGTGAATCTCATGAAATCTTCCAAGAACAGGGTCACATTTTACCCTAAAATCATAATAATTTTTATTATATTGTGTAAAAAAAGTGTATTTATAAGACGAAAAAGATCTATTTATTGTGACATTATTTCTATGATAATTAAGCATATTCCCATTCTCATTACTGTAATGTGACTATATGAAATAATAAATAGAATCAGTATTTTTAAAATATATTATATATCAGTATTATATATAGTAGTAGTATTTTTGTTCTGCCTTTATGCCAAATTAAAGTTTAATTTAATGTTTAATCAAATAAAATGGGTAAATCTCATGAAACCTTGGTCTCTGAATTTCTGAAACACAGGCCTCGAGTCCCACGGGGGAGCTCCGGAAGGATAAAAGGAGGAGTGACGACAGTGAAAGACGAGAGAGGACTAGGCCTGGACTTTATTTTGTGTTTTGTGTGCGCCAGTCGTCCACGAGGGGCTGCCGCTTTACTTTCATTTTGTGTTAGTTTATTTGATTAAAGTTTTGTTTAAATGTTCGCCGGTTCCCGCCTCCTTCTTCCCGAACTACGAACTTTGTTACAAACGCGTTTTCAAAGACCGCGCTGAGAGTAAGAGCACAGAATGGCTTCTCAGTCAGTACCGCTTTCTTTGCCATGATTTCGGTGAGGACACATACATTCACGTGATTTATAAAGGGAGGTGCTGTCACCATATATGGTTCATTGGAGGCGTTTCCGAATACAAATGACCGTGAACGAGCATGTTACTTACGCACCTGTGGAATTTATCAACAATGATTGCTTACTCATGTGCGTAAGAACTGTGTGCGCATGTTTGATAAATACTGATTTTCTTGTACTTACGCACATTCTAAATTTCATTCGTAGGACAAAATATAGAACCTTTTCTACGCACTGTTGATAAATGAGGGCCCAGGTTCATGGGGAGCATATCGCCCAAGTCAGCTGAGCAACAGCCGATGAAATGCACTGAGCTGATCTTTTCTCTTTTCTTGATCCCACAGACGAGTCGCCGACCTCCAAAACCAGCCTGTTTTTCATGATCTCCAACGAGGGCAACCAGAACCTATACGTGTCCCAGGCCAGCCTGTGGTTGTACTTCAAGCTTCTGCCTAATGTTTTGGAGAAAGGCTCGAGGAGAAAGGTTACAGTGAAGGTTTACTCGCAGGAACCGGGACTCGGGAGCAAGTGGAACTTGGTGGAGAAGCGCGTGGATCTCAAACGCAGCGGATGGCACACTTTTCCGTTGACGGACACCGTGCAAATGGTTTTCGCCAAAGGCGACCGCCGGCAGAACCTGGACGTACGGTGCGAAGTGTGTGAAAAGATGGGCGTCGTGCCTGTTTTGGTGAACATGGCCGACGAATCCCACCATCCTTTCCTTGTGGTCCAAGTGCGAGCAGCCAACAACAAACACCGCATCCGCAAACGAGGCCTTGAATGCGACGGCAGCAGCAGCTTGTGTTGCCGCCAACAGTTTTACATCGACTTCCGCCTCATCGGCTGGAATGACTGGATCATCGCCCCGTCAGGGTACTTTGGGAATTATTGTGAAGGGAACTGTCCGGCGTACATGACCGGGGTTCCCGGATCAGCTTCGTCTTTCCACACGGCCGTTGTGAACCAATACCGCATGCGAGGAATGAGTCCGGGATCCATGAACTCCTGCTGCATCCCGACCAAACTCAGCACCATGTCCATGCTGTACTTCGACGACGAATACAACATTGTGAAACGGGACGTGCCCAACATGATTGTCGAGGAGTGCGGCTGCGCTTGAGACTTCCAAAATATTATAGTAAGAAACTAATATTTAAGACTTATCCGTGCTCACAAATCCACATGCACACCCCAGCTCTTCCACGCATCTTTGTACATATATTTATGTTCTTTAATCATTGAGCGATTTAGTTCCAGTCTACAGGTTTGTACGATACTGTCATGTCAAAGGGATGGGATTGCTTTTATCTATATCTACACTCTTAAAAACAAAGGTTCTTTATTGGCTACCATGAAGATCATCCATTAGACAAAAAGTTCTTTAGATTATTAAAATGTTCTTCACACTAAGAAAAACATGGTCCTTTTTGAAGGGACAGTTCACCCAAAAATGAAATGCTGTTAATTTACTCGGCCTCAGGCCATCCAAGATGTGGGTAACTTCTTTTTTTTTCCCAGCAGAACAGTAAAGAAGATTTTTAGCTGAAACCGTTCTCCTTGGTGATTCATAAAATGCAAGAAAGCAGATGCACATTTTGGAGAATTAAAAAAGCATATACAGGCAAAACAAAACCAATACCCATGACTCCTGACGATATATTGAGGTCTTATGAAGCGAAATGATCAGTCTGTGCAAGAAACTGAACATTATTTACAACATTATTACAGTGATCCAGAGTTTCAGGCAAACAGAAGTATGAATCTTCATCAGCTCACCTTTTTACAATGAGAAACCATAAGAACGTTCATTTCACCCCTTCATTCAAGTGTTCGGTTCACGCATGTCCATGTCAGCGGCTCATCGGTCTTCGGTCCGAGTCGAACTGTTTCCTCAGTTCAGTGTCTGTTGGAAGAACTGAAGCGCTGAATGATTCATTCATAATAGGATCAGATACGCTGCTATTTTGGCTCATTTCAGGTGGCAGTGACTGCAGGCGTCTGAAAGTGAGTTTTGATTGAGTAACTTGTAGATCTGTGCTGCTCAAGCCAGATGCTTTCAGATGCTTCAGTCCGATTTGGTGAACTAGTTCAACAAGTTCACCAAAAAGAACCGGTTCAAAAGAATGATTCGTTCATGAACCTGACATCACTCCGGACCGTTTGCCTGAGGCTCTGGATCACAGGTAATAATGTTCGGTTTCTTGCACAGACCAATCGTTTCGCTTCATAAGACCTCAATATATCATCAGGAGCCACAGGGATTTATTTTGAGGTCCTCTATATGATTTTTTCACTCTCGAAATTGGGCAGCCGCTGATCTCCACACTATGAATCACCAAGGAGCACGATTTCTACTCAAGAAAAAAAAGTCACCTGCATCTAGGATGGCATGAGGGTGAGTAAATGAACAGCACATTTTCATTTTTGGGTGAACTGTCCCTTTAAGAACTGTCGAGTAAAAGATTTTTTGGGGAACCAAAAATGGTTCTTTAATGGCATCGCTAAGAAAACCCCCTTTGAAACCTTTCTTTTTAAGAGTGTAGTTTGGTTCTTTTCTTTAAAAATAGAAAGAGGAGATGTGATCTCAAAATACTTTTATATCTGTGTACTTTCCCAAAAAGCACTGACCATCTTCTCAAAGCAACGCCAGCACTTCCCACATCGAGTCCATTGAGTGACAACCAATCCATTCGAGAGCATCCGTCTTCAACGAACATCTGCAAAGAGCTACAACAATCCTTGGGTTTCTAAACAGACATGAGGTCCATTCATAAATCACAAGGCTTGTCTTGTTATGTCTCGGTTGTGATTATTCATGCAACAAGCCGAAGACACGCTTTTGAAACACAAGTGACTCCAGTGATCTCATGAGTTGCCAAACTCTTCAGTTACGTCATGGTGCAGCATAGCACTTGCAAAAAATACTGTAAATGCACAATATAAAGCACTTGCAGACTTAAAAATGCCTTCGAAGGTACCAAGTGGCGCGCCTCGTTCACGATTCCTATAAAATAAGTGCCACAAGCTATGCAATGTATAGTAGTGACCTACACCGGATGACCCACTTGTTATGAACCGTTTTCAATACTTGAAATGTAAACTTTCGCTTCCTACTCTGAGCGGATGGTTGTTACAATATTTGCACTGAAGTTGCATTATTAGTAAAGAAAAAACCTGCCATTGAAAAAAAAGAAAAGTTATTTTTATAGAAGCTGAAACTGAATTCTGTTGGGAGCAAGTGGAACTTGGTGGAGAAGCGCGTGGATCTCAAACGCAGCGGATGGCACACTTTTCCGTTGACGGACACCGTGCAAATGGTTTTCGCCAAAGGCGACCGCCGGCAGAACCTGGACGTACGGTGCGAAGTGTGTGAAAAGATGGGCGTCGTGCCTGTTTTGGTGAACACGGCCGACGAATCCCACCATCCTTTCCTTGTGGTCCAAGTGCGAGCAGCCAACAACAAACACCGCATCCGCAAACGAGGCCTTGAATGCGACGGCAGCAGCAGCTTGTGTTGCCGCCAACAGTTTTACATCGACTTCCGCCTCATCGGCTGGAATGACTGGATCATCGCCCCGTCAGGGTACTTTGGGAATTATTGTGAAGGGAACTGTCCGGCGTACATGACCGGGGTTCCCGGATCAGCTTCGTCTTTCCACACGGCCGTTGTGAACCAATACCGCATGCGAGGAATGAGTCCGGGATCCATGAACTCCTGCTGCATCCCGACCAAACTCAGCACCATGTCCATGCTGTACTTCGACGACGAATACAACATTGTGAAACGGGACGTGCCCAACATGATTGTCGAGGAGTGCGGCTGCGCTTGAGACTTCCAAAATATTATAGTAAGAAACTAATATTTAAGACTTATCCGTGCTCACAAATCCACATGCACACCCCAGCTCTTCCACGCATCTTTGTACATATATTTATGTTCTTTAATCATTGAGCGATTTAGTTCCAGTCTACAGGTTTGTACGATACTGTCATGTCAAAGGGATGGGATTGTATATCTACATATCTACACTCTTAAAAACAAAGGTTCTTTATTGGCTACCATGAAGATCATCCATTAGACAAAAAGTTCATTAAAATGTCTCATTAACTCATCAGATCTCCAAAGTCAGACCCACCAGGCTTAAAGGGATAGTTCACCCAATTTACTCACACTCAGGCCAGCCAAGATGTAGGTGACTCTTTTTCTTCAGTCTTCAGATTTTTAGCTGAAACCGTGCTCCTTGGTGATTCATAAAATGCAAGAAAGCAGATGCACATTTTGGAGAATTAAAAAAGCATATACAGGCAAAACAAAACCAATACCCATGACTCCTGACGATATATTGAGGTCTTATGAAGCGAAATGATCAGTCTGTGCAAGAAACTGAACATTATTTACAACATTATTACAGTGATCCAGAGTTTCAGGCAAACAGAAGTATGAATCTTCATCAGCTCACCTTTTTACAATGAGAAACCATAAGAACGTTCATTTCACCCCTTCATTCAAGTGTTCGGTTCACGCATGTCCATGTCAGCGGCTCATCGGTCTTCGGTCCGAGTCGAACTGTTTCCTCAGTTCAGTGTCTGTTGGAAGAACTGAAGCGCTGAATGATTCATTCATAATAGGATCAGATACGCTGCTATTTTGGCTCATTTCAGGTGGCAGTGACTGCAGGCGTCTGAAAGTGAGTTTTGATTGAGTAACTTGTAGATCTGTGCTGCTCAAGCCAGATGCTTTCAGATGCTTCAGTCCGATTTGGTGAACTAGTTCAACAAGTTCACCAAAAAGAACCGGTTCAAAAGAATGATTCGTTCATGAACCTGACATCACTCCGGACCGTTTGCCTGAGGCTCTGGATCACAGGTAATAATGTTCGGTTTCTTGCACAGACCAATCGTTTCGCTTCATAAGACCTCAATATATCATCAGGAGCCACAGGGATTTATTTTGAGGTCCTCTATATGATTTTTTCACTCTCGAAATTGGGCAGCCGCTGATCTCCACACTATGAATCACCAAGGAGCACGATTTCTACTCAAGAAAAAAAAGTCACCTGCATCTAGGATGGCATGAGGGTGAGTAAATGAACAGCACATTTTCATTTTTGGGTGAACTGTCCCTTTAAGAACTGTCGAGTAAAAGATTTTTTGGGGAACCAAAAATGGTTCTTTAATGGCATCGCTAAGAAAACCCCCTTTGAAACCTTTCTTTTTAAGAGTGTAGTTTGGTTCTTTTCTTTAAAAATAGAAAGAGGAGATGTGATCTCAAAATACTTTTATATCTGTGTACTTTCCCAAAAAGCACTGACCATCTTCTCAAAGCAACGCCAGCACTTCCCACATCGAGTCCATTGAGTGACAACCAATCCATTCGAGAGCATCCGTCTTCAACGAACATCTGCAAAGAGCTACAACAATCCTTGGGTTTCTAAACAGACATGAGGTCCATTCATAAATCACAAGGCTTGTCTTGTTATGTCTCGGTTGTGATTATTCATGCAACAAGCCGAAGACACGCTTTTGAAACACAAGTGACTCCAGTGATCTCATGAGTTGCCAAACTCTTCAGTTACGTCATGGTGCAGCATAGCACTTGCAAAAAATACTGTAAATGCACAATATAAAGCACTTGCAGACTTAAAAATGCCTTCGAAGGTACCAAGTGGCGCGCCTCGTTCACGATTCCTATAAAATAAGTGCCACAAGCTATGCAATGTATAGTAGTGACCTACACCGGATGACCCACTTGTTATGAACCGTTTTCAATACTTGAAATGTAAACTTTCGCTTCCTACTCTGAGCGGATGGTTGTTACAATATTTGCACTGAAGTTGCATTATTAGTAAAGAAAAAACCTGCCATTGATAAAAAGAAAAGTTATTTTTATAGAAGCAACTGAATTCTGTTCAAATGTATTATACCGAATTATGGAACCAAAGAGGCCAAGATTTTAGCTATTGTAAGATGGCGAGGCCATCGGATTCTTTTGTAAAATACTTTTTAAATACGCACGAGGCCTAAACGATGTATCAGGGTACAATAGAATGAATTCCATTTTCAAGTTGTTGTTTTGTACAGTAGATCAATTTAATATTTCATATTTTCCCATCATCTTTAATTGTTTTTTGTTCTCCATTTTTCTATTTAATACTTTTAGCATCTATTCCGGAATCATTTAGAGTCAAATACATGCCATCTCTGTACAGCTTATGTAAGATAAAAGTGCTTATTTTGTTCTTTGTAACTGTTATGAAATAAATTTCTTATTCTGCATCAAGATCGACTTGTGTTACTTTTGTGTTCACGTTTATGCATTTGGCAGATGCTTTTATACATTGCATTCAAGGTATGCATTTTATCCGTTCATGCTTTTTCTGGGAATCGAACCCATGACGTTGGCGGTTATTAGCACCACGTTTGTGGGTTTGATTCCCAGGAAATGCATGAGCTGCTGTGATAGATTTTTTTCTCTTGAACACATGGGATGGAAACGATGCTTCATTCGCAAATGTTTTATGCAATATTCAAAATTTCCACACATTTTCTAAGAATCAAACCAATGACCTTGGTGTTACTAGTGCCATAGTCATGGGTTCGATTCTCAGGGAATGCATGAACTGTTGTGTCAGTATTTCTTAAAAAATACTGTATTAAAGTAGCCATGTTTGCATCTACTTATTTTATGCAAATTTTGGGATGTTGCATGAAAAACACTGGATGGAAACGGCAAGATGTGCATAAAACCTTAAAATGCGCATTAATGCACAATTGAAGTGGATGATTTTTTATTAGTCAAAAAACTACAATGGATACACACTTACTGAACAAGTTCCTGGATGCAACAAATAACCTTGTGCCTTTGCCTCAGCAATCATGTGATTGGGTAACTGGACTAACCAGCATTGCACACAATCTGAAATATTGTTTTAGTCATTCTGAAATGCCTGAACCAAAGTCTGTCATCAAAAATGATTTGGTATAATTACATCCCAGAACGGTTTCAAACGACTGTGTTCCCAAACACCAGGCTGCAAGATAACATGACAGCATTTGTTATTGCATTTAATCAGAATTAAGTAATTTAGTTAAAAAAGAGGCACACACTTCACATACTTATTTCCGATAAAATTGCAAATATTATAAATCATTTAAACTTTGGTTACAATTATTTATGAATAGACAAAATACATAATTTTGTACATTATGAATACACAGTGCAAAATAATTTTTCCACCTTTTCCAGATCCTCAAGTTCCAATTAGGAGAAAACAACAGCAACAACAACATAAAAGCATCATAAAAATACATACTTGTGCACGAAGTCTTCTCAAGTCTTATGAGGTTGAAAAATCAGCTGAAAATCTTCCAGTCAGCTGCTAATCTCAAATCTGGGTTGTGTCAGTTCTGACATCAATGCTGTTTGTATGTGAGACTCACGAGAGCCAATGTTTGTTGTCACTGATGTCACAACTGCACTACTGACACCATATTTGGCGAGTTGCAATATAGTGCACAAGTCGTATGGACTCTTTTGGGACAAACTTAAGGAAGTAAATTACAAACGGTCTTTTCCACAAGTCGTGACAGATTTTCTACTCGAGCCCACACTGAACGTCACGGTCTATGTCACTTTACAGCTCAGAACATCCCAGATCCATCACCACTGCAATTACAGCATACGTGCACATTAGTGTGTCTGTCGTGTGTGTTTGTCAGCAGGAGCCAAATGACATGTTTTGCAAAGACACACAACCTCTCAGTCACACATTACTGAGTTTTACTCTGAGGAACCAGAGGGAAATGCACATTTAGACAACACATCAGAGCTGAGAAAGCCTGAGTCTGGACATTATAATCAACTAAACAAAGAATTATGAATATGCACCAGTCAAAAGTTTGGAATAATTACAGCATTTTTTCAACGTTTTTGAAAGAAGTCTCTTCTGCTCACCAATGCTGCATTTATTTGATCCAAAATTTTAAAATATTATTACAATTTAAAATAACTGTTTTCTATGTGCATAGTACAATGTCATTTATTTCTGTGATCAAAGCTGAATTTTTTTTGCATTTCTCCAGTCTTCAGTGTCACATGATCTTCAGAAATCAGTCAAATATGCTGATTTGCTGCTCAAGAAACATTTCTGATTATTATCAATCCTGTTCCAGCGCTCGTACAAAACAACACAGGGGCTTTAATATTTGGACTCTAATGCGATGCTTGCTTTCCTCCCAAGGCTGAGCTGAACTTTATTTTACAGGCTTGCAGAGTTTATTTCCAGCATCTCTCAGCTCAAACACAAAAAGAGAAACAGTGTTGAAAAGATCATGTGAGAGCAAAACCAAGCTCATAGACCATACCAAATATGGTGAGTGATCTGGATTGAAGTTCCTCAAGCCCGGGCATCTCAAACCCGGCAGAGGTATGAGTAACGACTCTAAAACGATTCATTAACGTCACCTCAATAGATGCAGAACTGTTTGATATTGCAATAAAACTCCTGCTGCTAATAAATGTCTCTGGTGTGTCTGTAGCCGCATACAGTTTGTTTGTCATCAGGCGACTGTAAAACGCTCCAGAATTTTTCATCCTCGTGAGTCTGCGGAAGGGAATTTCTGGAATGTTCCACTTCAGTAATCAAAATGTGTTGATCGCAGATATTTTTACCGGCCGCATCCAGGAGACACTAATACTGAAAAAGGCCTGATTCCAGCTCAAGCAGGTCTCAGTGCTTTAAAGGACTTGTTAAATCAATTAAGATACTGTCATCAGTCACTCACCTTCAAGTCGTGCCAAACCCGTATGACTTACTTTCTTCTGCAAAACCCAAAATGAGATGTCAGGCAGAAAGTCTGAGTTGCTTTTTATATATTAAAACAAAAATACACAATGATCAGGGTCTGTCATACTCTAAAAACAAAAATCTTACAAGCATCATAACTATAACTATGTGCGAGAGGCCAAGTCACAATAAAAGTTTGCAAGGAAA